GCAGAAAAGCCTGGGAGTTACACAAGTGCCATCAGTCATCTGAGGCCACAGTCAGTCACTGATCATTGGAATGATCAATTTAGGCCCAGCTTGCATGACTGGGCTCTTGCCTCACCCCAAACATCATCCTGCAGCCACAACAGCTCCACAGTAAAAACTGCTTTATCAAGTTCACTGTACTCATTACTACTCAACTACAAATAAAGTTGATAAGAATTTACCCTCTACAAAGTTCATATTGAAACGTGCTGCATCACAGCATCTACAAAGACTGAATTTACTTTTATAGACCCATTTTTCTTTTAAAAATGTGTTTTGTTTCAGACTTGAACTTTCATATTTGGCATATCTCCAGGACTACAAATTTATTTCTCTAAGATGGGTATTTATTTAGCACTAGAGGTTTGTGTGAAACATTATCATTTTGATGATTTAATATTTCTTCTTCCTTCTCTGTTTTGAAATTATTTTATCAAGAGAGAAATTTGCAGCTTTGTCATTCAGTGACTTAAGGCTGATTTGCTGTTTAGTTTAGCTGAACAGACATTCATTGTCTTTGCCAGCTTTTATTTCTTTGGATTTTTAAGAACCACTGTGAAAAATAACTCATCTTACATAACAGCTAACGAGGTTATACAAATATTACCATCAATAACCCAGAGCCCAGGAGTTTAAAGCAATGATTTAATAAACCAATAAACCAAAGTGGTCACAAATCACAATTTAATTTGCCCTTTCATTGCCTCCTGACACTTTCTAGACATTGTCCTGCTGAGTGCAAACAAGGGGCATCTGAATCTCCCACACATGAAAGATCCTTCCATGCAATTCCATCTCAAAATACACTGCCCACCAAAGTTACCCAGATTACAAGCTAAAATCAGCAGTTTACTTCTCAATGAAAATTTTACATACCCTTCTAACAGAAGGCAAAATACCACCTGTTATTACTGGAATAAATTCACTCCCCAGCAAGAAAACCATGAAAATAAATAAGTCTATTACTCCTATAGATTATATATTACAAAGACTGACTCTGGAACCATGAGAACAATAATTTATAAGAAGTATCAACTTTAATAGTCAGAAATCAGCACATCTCTGTTACACAAGGATACAAAATTCCCACTCTGCCATGGCAATGTGGATCAGCCTGGAGAATTACACACAGCCAAAGGATGGCTGAGGGCTGCTACACTGAGACAATGTGAGGCACAAGTGAAAATTAAATCCAAATTCTCAGATTTGGATTTAATTTAAATCCAAATTCTCCAGTTAAAATTAAATCCAAATTCTCATAATTAAAGAAAACCAAGGTGAAACTGAAAAAAACTGACATACACAAATTATTGTGAAGTTGAAAAAAAATCTGAAGGAAGCTAAGAACAGGAGAGGAAAATCCATGGTTCAAATAGCTAAGAAAACCAGTTATACAAAGGTTAAGACCTTTTAAGGCACATCAGCATTTAAATTCATTCTAGTTCTGAAAAGAGGAAGATGGTAAAATACTACAGTAATCAGCAAAAAGCTGGGAGTGATCAGTAAACACTGCCTACCTGTATTTGGTAATGTGGATAACTTTGTACTGCATGAGGAAAATAAGATAATGGAATTATACTTATGACTAGACCAGATAATATAAAAATAATAAATGCTGGGGTTTCATAAGGAAAAACATAACCACAAAGTCTAGAAAATGCCCAAGAGAATTGCCATAGGATATCAAGGGGATCCCAATGTCCATTTCCAGTGTATGTGGGGACAGACAGAAAATCACTCTAGAGTAAGTGTCCCAATGTAAGAAAAATTAGCAACTAATAATTGAAGGAGACTTACAAGATTAAATGTAAAAAGAGGTTAATTTATCAGGCATTAATTTACTTCATAATAAGTGTATAATTCAAAGGAGAACAATTTCATTAATGCAAATCAACCCAGCTGTACAGAAAACTACTAAACAAACCTGGCATTTGTCCTTTGTGTGACTAATCACAAACTTATTATTTAGGTTTTTTTCCAGGCACTTCACCTAAAACATGAGGCATTCTAGACAAAATAACAGTGAGGAACACATTACAGGAATTAAAATGAGTTAATTTCAGCATGATTTTAGCAATTCTGTCAGGATTTGTGCATTGTTCTCAGTGGAGTGAAGCTCAGCACTGTCAGTGCTGGTGAGCAGCAAACAGTGGTGGGAATGGAGTGATCTGGATCAGTTGGTTCACTGCACTCAGTCCCTGGGAACACATTCTCAGGCACACATTAAAAATGGAACAAGTGTTGGCAAAAAGCATGTATGTAAATCCCAGTTAAAAGAAAATCATTTATGCTCAAACTTTAAAAGCTTGATCTTTTAAATCCTTTAAATACGAAAACCAGGCTTAATTTGATGGCAGTATAAAGTGCTACACACTGCAAAAGCCTTTCATCATGAGGATAAGGAAATGAGGACCAGTGGTTAGAAACTAAACCTAAACATCCAAAATTTCATATTTTAATTCACCTAGCTCTAAAGGCAATAGAGCCTGAAACAAGTACAGACAATCCCTTGTCTCCTGAAGTTCTCACAGCAAAGCCATGCATCCCTGTGCTCTCAGGCCCAGCTATTGGGTCAGGGGGTGATACCCCATAACTGCAGCACACAAGTGGTCAGGCTGCACAAACTAGCAGGACCTTCTGTCTCAGCTGGATTTTACCACTCAGACAAATGTTATGTAATTAATTTGGCAGCAAGGCAATATTTTGAAGAAACAGGCAAATGCACGATTTTTCCTCCCCTATTTCAGCTTTAGTTATCCAACAGTTAACCCCTCCTCATCCAAATAAGCACATACTGCTTCTTCTCCATTATTTTTACTGCTTCAAGGAGGCCAGCATGCACTAATCCCTCCTGCAGAATCCAAACCAGTCTGTTCTGAGCCATGACCAATGATTTGTGGTCAGCCTTGTGTGACAAACATATAATTTTTAAAGATATTACGATTTTGCCTTGTTTGTTGCAACAGCAGAACACAAAGCTTACCACCTTTCAGGGAAAACACAAAGTTGATTTTCTTTCCCTCCTCCAAATAACTGCCTCCCTGGCTTCCTACCAAGCAGTCTATTCCCTCAGAACAGCCTTTGTGCTGTCAGTACGTCTCTGACGTTTGTTAAAGCACTGGAATGCAGCTCTAGATGGCACAGATATCACAGGGTGTTCACTTGCAGCTCAAGTGTTTGCTTTGCTTCAGTGGGTTTTGTTCAACTCCTCCTGTCCCCCACCTGTTTGTCTGCAGAGTGACTTCAACTCTTGGCCAGTAGCTTAAATACATCAAATCTAACTTGTATTAAAGTGTCCATCCAGTGACAGACATCAAACCTACAGAGAGCATTGGACACTGGAGATGTGGGATTACATAACATCTGAAACATGCCATTGCTGAGGGAAGGATTAACAAAAGCAGCAGAATCCATCATGGCTGGATTAGCCCAGGCTCCTCTCTGCTCATACCTGGACAGACACTGCTGTACCCTCCTGCACCTCAAAGCACACCCAGCAGCTAGAAATCACATCCTGACTCCCAAGCCAGCTTCAATTCCACTTCCAGTGTCTCCTGCTATGGAAAACCTCCTGTTAAGCTAAAGACTTCACACCTATCTTTTCCAGTGGGCTGTTAACATAATGTGCAGCAAGGGCAATTACCCTTCAAATGAAATTTAATCAAAGGAGGCTCCTCACCCTTAGCAGATTTAAAGTTATTCTGTTCAATTACTGACAAATGTGTCAAATACATCCCTTAGAGGTCCCAAGGAAATAGGATTACCCACACTGAATATTCATCAGAGAGGAAAAGGAAAGTGTTACTGCCTCAAGAGAATAAAACAACGTCATGAAAACCGATTTCCAGTCTTATCTAATAAAAAGGCAATTTGCCAGCAGACCTTTAACACCCATTTGTTAAAGTAACCCAGAAGCTTATTTATTGGAGTGATAGACTAGAAACACACAATCAATTTTTACAGAGTTTTAATTACTAAGAAAATGGCACCATACATTTCCCCCAGATTAAACAAATACCACCAGACAAGCCTGCCTCCAAGATAACAAGCAAACAGCAAGAAGCAAGCCACAGCTTTTTCTAAGGCAAACAAAGAAAAAACCTCTTTGTGAGCTGCAGTTCTGCCCTTTCCAGTTTGCCCAGACTTGCCCCTTCCCTCACTCTGTGTTCTACCATGGTATTGACATAGCCCAAGGAGGGGTTTTTTGCTGACAGGCTCACACCAGACAAAGCTCCCTTTCATCAAGTGTTCCACTGTGCTCCAACACCAGGCTCCAGAAATCAGCAATGCCAGGCAGCCTTCCATGGCTGAGTTAGAAACCACTGCTTCTTACAATAGGAACCACAATATCTGTAAATTAGATCCTTTACTGGGATATCAACACTAAGAGTATCCACATAAAACAGCTTCACAAAGTTTTGGTATGACATCAAACCTACTGTGTTTGATACCTTCACTAAAACTTGTGTCCATCTGGTATTAGAGACCCTGACAAAAATAAGGAGCTCAAAGCCAGAAACAGCAGGATTTACCTTCCAGAAAAGCCAAGGCAGTTACAGCATTGCTGATAATTTTCACTCCAGCTTCCTACATAGTGCAAGTTGCAGTTTTAAACCCAAACTCCATTTCCTTATAAACTCAAGCTTTTTTTCCTCTGCAATAGATCAAATATTAAAAGAATACTTTTGCTTTCATTCAGTACCAAAAACCCACCCAGCTCTCCCCAGATTATTCAGCTGAAGACAGGCAGCCAGCAAGCTTTCCCAAAACTCAGTGTTTTGTTGTGATCTGAAATAAAGATGGATGTTCACTGCTACACCTCTTTAACTACAAAGCTTTCTGCAATTATTAGAAATAGACACAATAAGCTTTAAGAGCAATGTGAAAAGCCTGGGGGAAGAAAAAAGCAAAACAAACAAAAAACCCCAAACAAACAAAAAAAAGCACACCACCAAAACAAGTCAGAAGCATTTTAAGCAAGTCTTTATTTTTCTACTCCCACAACTAGAAATAACCAGACAACTAATTCCCCAGTTCTTTTTGTTAAAATATTGGGGTGTGATGGAACCCAACCCACAAATAAATGCATGCTTTGAAGAAGGAAAAATAAAGAGTTATTTCTGTGATTTGTGCCTCACAGTCAAACTTGAATGGCCCTGAGAGAAGTCTGTGCAGACAAATCACTGGAAAGATTTATGTGCAGTTTGTTAGATCTGTTTCCCACCCCCCTTGTGTTATTGCTCTGCAAATTAGAGATTGTTTTTTAGCAAGTACTAATTTTGACTAAAACCCATCATAAAGAGTGCTACAATATTGCTTTTTATTACAAATACGCAGAATTTTTTGAAAATATAAATGTGTAAAACAATCCACCAACTGTACAGTGCATTTACAGGACACAGCCCAGAAAGGAACATGCAGTGTAAAGAACTGCTTTATACATTTAGCCCTTGGCCACAAAGAACTTGGCAGTACTACCACGACTTTAATGACTATAGGGTGAAAAAAAAAAATTAAAAACAAAAAAAAAAGAGCTCAGTTACATCTAACTTTACCATGAGGTTGGGATACATACAACATCGTACAGGGAAGAGTTGTTTTTAACTAGAAACCGTCATCATGTTGTAACTCTTGGAAGGGCTGGATCTGCCAATCCTCCACTCCTCCTTGCAGCTGGTCCTGCTCTCCAGCTGTTTGGCCGCCTTGCCCCCAGGCTGGGGGCTTTCGTACAGCACACAGATAGACCCATCCTCACCTATGCGATAGGACACTTCGAAAGGGTCGACCCACAGCGTTAATTCGCTGGGTAAGAGCTGGAAGAGCCTCTCGTGGCTCAGTCCGATCATCCCCGCCGCCTTTCCTATCAAGGGGTCCATCTTATGGTTGATCCTGATGCAGCGGTAGCCGGAGCCCTTGGAGGGCACCAGGGGGAACCAGTGGTGCCTGTAGTGCTCTGCGGGAGGGAACAAAGAGGAGGCTCTGCGTGGGGCTGCGCTCCGCCGGGCCCGCGGGGTGCGGGAGGGACGGAAAGAGGGGATGGAAATTGGGGATGCCCCCCCGGCACTCACCGCGCATCGCCTCCTGCAGGCACTCGCGGAAGCACCGCAGCTGCTCCTCGCCGACCCCGCCGGCGGCCCGCAGGAGGCGGGTGACGAACGCGGCCGCCGTGGAGATCTCGGTCCTCATGTCCGCCCCGGCCCCGCTGCCAGCGCCGCCCGGCCCGGCCCCCGCGCCCGGGGGCGGCTCCGCGCAACAGCCGCACGGCGCGGGCGGGACGGGGCGGGTTTGTTGTGCCGGCCGCGGGGGGGCGGCACCGGCGCGGACGCACGGACGGCCGACACACGGACGGCCTGACACACGGACGGCCCGCCCCGCCGGGACGCGCTCGGGGCACCGGCCGGACGCGGCCCCGCCGCTCATTCAGCCCAACGGAATTAACGGGTGCGACGCGCGGCCGCGCTCCCGGCCCGGCGCTGCCCTCACGGCCCGCCCGCTCATCCCTCCCTCATCTCCATCGCCCGCGGTACTCCGGGCACACAGCGCTGCCTCGTTCCCTCTCCCTCTCTTTTACAGGACGCAATACAAGCGCAGACTAAAATCCCCTCCGTTTCAAACACACAGCTCCGAGGTCAGCCCTGACGCGCGGGATTTCCTTTCCCTCTACCCGCAAATGACGAAACTCTTGACATTTGCCCAAAACCCAGACCACTCCTCTCCTAACCAACTCTCAGGTCTGGATCAAGCTGCGGTTTTGTTAGAACAAGTTTTCACCGAAGTCCCATTTGCATGTCAGTACCTCATACTTTAGGAACTGCTGGTACCTCGTCTGATTCAGTCACCCGCTTCAGTTTTGTTTTACTCATTGTTCTGAGAATCAGAATACAAAATACATTCACATCCACCTTCATTGTAATAAGGAACACAGAAACACCACTTGCATTGGAGTTACAGAACCCTTGCTAGCATTTAGAATAAACACACCATTAGCAGCACTGAGAACTGTCCAAATCCACACATAAATTGTTAACCTCAATGCTAGATTATGCTAAAGAGCTTCTCCCTTCCACAATGTGTGCACCCAAATGAATAAATGCACAAATTGCCTGTTATCCCAGTGGTTTTACTCTTAAGTCAAACAAGATACTGCTAAAGCCAGGACAGACATTAAGGGCCCAGGTTTTAACTTGCTAGTGAGAAATTAAAGTAATGGTAAGAGTAGAAAGCAAATTAATGAAGCAAATGAGAGAAGTTAAAAGTATTGCAAGAGTCAAACGATAGTGCTAAAATTGCCCACATGGATTGAGGGCTGACACCTGGATCCATTAGTCCTAAGTGGAATATTCAAATAAAACAAGAAATTCTGGCTATAAAAAGTCAAAAGATGCCACAGTTGTCAGGTAGTGCTAAGGTCACACTTTGGTTTCTTGTGTTCTCCTCAGGGAGTTTCAGGTTTAAGGCTCCATGTAAGTCAGACAGAAAAGTGAGAAATCAGCAAATATGTAACTGTGTTACTTTCATCCCCCTGCCCAAAAATGGCTCCATGAGCAGCTGTATTTAAAGCAAATTCTACATCTCAGACTTACCTTGTTGTTATTCTAATCCCCTGCAAGTCATTTTCTCTTTAGCAGGAACACCTGGAATAGAGGAAAACCAAGATACTGACTTTTTTTATCTTGTTAAAAATAAAGTCTGTGCAAGTGTTCTACCATTCTATTTTTCCTCAACTTCAGCTAGAGGAAGAGGAGAATGTAAAACTGAAGGTATAGCACTCAAATAATATACTATTATTTAAAAACAACAATAATAAAAAATAGTAATACTAGCACAATCCAGTTAATTTATTCAACAACAAAATTCCCAAACAAACCCACCCAGAATTAAGAACAAGTAAAGTCTAAATCCAGTTCCTTTTAGATTACTTGAATCAAGCTCTCAAATGTCTCTGGAAACATAAGTAGAAACAGCACTAGAAATTGCCAGCAGAGGTTTTAAACTAAACAAGAAATTTTGGTTTTACTCCATCTCCTCAAAGCATCTCTCTCTAAACACAAAGAGATAAAACCATTCTTAAAAGCAAGAAGAAACTTTTCTTTATGGCAAGACTACAAAGACAAACATTAAGTTACCATTCCCACTAGAGAAAGAAAAAGCAACAATTCCAAGCATAAATAATGGTACCTTCAATGTTTAGAGCATCAAACTCTTCCACAATTACCCCAGTCTGGCACATAATTGATAAAACAAGTTTTTGGAGATACAAAAATGAAATCTTCAAGCAGCAGCTCAAAATTAAAGTGCTGCAAGTGCAGTTTCCATCTGAAACTTGAAACCACCCCTTTTGTGCACACCTGAGCTGAGCAATCCCAGCTGATGGTTCCATTGGATCACCTGCAGCCAGTTCAGCACGGCTGGGAGCAATGACCCTCAGGGCTTTCCTTGGGCCTCACAGGCTGATCCTGCACTGCAAGGATAAAGGAAATTATCCCCTGATAATCGAATTTCCCTGCATGTAATGGGCAATGGGGAAATGAACGAGAGAAATCAGAATTCTCTAACAGAATTGGAAATATGTCACACTGACACTGTGGTTTTCGCTTAAAGGACCATCGAGGGATTTGTAAACTGATCTGTAGAAATGAAAATAATTTGTAACCCTGTTTTAAAAATGTGCTGCAAGACTATGGTCTCATCTCCTCTTAACAGGTTTATCAACATAGCTGGGGCCTCACACCCACCTGAGTTATACAGAGCTGGAAACTCCATTTTTCATTCCATTTAAAACAGGCCAAAATACGATGACAAGAGAGGTTAACGGCAGGAATGTAACAGCGGAGTTCAGCTCGGGGCTTTAGCAAATATCGCACTTCCCTGACACTCTCAGGGGCCCCAGTCTATCGAGGGCACTCGTGCCTGCGGCCGCACAGATCAGGTCACAGCCGCCCTCCAGCTGCGGTGTGACGCCACCACGCCCGGGATGAAGCCAGGTGTGACATCAGAGGGACAACCCTCACAGTGACGTCACCGTTCAGTCTGACATCATCGCTCGAAAGCCTGACGTCAGCGGCTCCCCCTCACACCGCTGAGGGCACCATCCTTCCCGCCTCCCTCCCTTCCAATCAGCGAGGCGCTTGCGTGTCGGCTGCCCGGGACCAATCACGAGGGCGCTTACAGCCGGCTCTGAAGCCGCCGCTATCCCATTGGCTGTGCGGGGAGAGCTGCCCGGCGGTGATTGGCGGGCGGCGCGGCGCGCGGGGGGGGCGTGGTCGTGGCGGCTCCGCGGCGTGTGGGCCCCGCGGGTCCCGGTCCCGCCATGGCGGCGCTGCCCGGGCCGCGCAAGCGGAGCGGCCCCGCGCTCTGCGGGGACAGCGGGGCCGCGGCCGCCCCGCCCGCGCTCCGCAACGTCCTTCCCCCGCACAAGCGCCCCAAGAGCGTCGTGCCCGGGGTCGTGGACCCCTTCGGGGACAGCGATGACTTCACGGCGGACGACCTGGAGCAGATCGACATCCTGGCCTCGCAGGCGCTGTCGCAGGATCCGCCCGCGGGACACGCGTGGCGAGCCCCGGAGCTGCCCCGGGCCGGGCGGCAAGGTCGGTGTGTCCCGGCGGCTGCCCCTCACTGCCCGCGGCTGCGGCGGGGTTTGCTGTCCCTTTAGGATGGCCTGGGTTGGCAGGGACCTCAAAGCGCATCCAGTGCCACCCCTGCCATGGCAGGGACACCTTCCCCTGTCCCAGGGTGCTCCCAGCCCTGTCCAGCCTGGCCTTGGGCACTGCCAGGGATCCGGGGCAGCCACAGCTCTCCGGGCACCTGTGCCAGGGCCTCAACACCCTCACAGGGGAGAATTTCTTCCTAATATCCAACCTAAATCTCCATCAGCGCGAAGCCCCTCCCTCTAATCCTGTCACTACAGGCTCTTGTAAATAGACTTGTTCCATCTTTCTTGTGAGTTCCCTTAAGGGAATTGTTCCTGCCCGTTCCCCTGGCCAGCAGCACCCCCGGTATCACAGGGATGGTTGGGATTCGAGGAATAACGAGAATAACAATCCCAGCAGGAACACTGCATTGATCTCATGGCTCCAGGAGCCCGTGCCTGGGGTGTGTGTGAGCCGAGGGTGCTGCATGTTAAACCTGCCAGATAAAAAATCCGGCTTTCCTAAACTTTCTGCATGCTTTAGGTATCATGTTCTGGTAGCATGTTGGCTTTCAGAAGTTTTTTCCCCTGTTAATTTCCACTAACAAATGCATGGCATGCCTTGTATTAACAGCTGACTTTCAGTTTTATTTTGAAAGAAACATAAGCAGGGGTTTCTTCACAATGAACCTTAGAGAGCTTGAATAATCTAAGTATGTTGTAGCAACCCTGACATCTGTCACCTCTCCAGGTGAATAAGTTTTCAGTGAACACTTGTTTGTGCATTAACTGAAGTTATCTCAGAAGAAATGCTTGCTTTTGCTGTGGGTCATTTTGCTGATTTAAGATATGAGATGATTTCCAATGTCCCTTTCAACCCAAACCATTCTGTAATTACAAATTTGAAGGGGCAGGGGTTCTTCTGCTATAAGAATTGATGCACAAGCACTAGTAATGTTCCTGTGGTGGCTGGATGAGGCAGTTTGCCTGTTTGTAATTGTAATAAAATACTAAGATATTCAGATGTATGCAATGACAAATATCAAAACCTTGGTGTTGAGTCACCAGTGATGCACATTCATCATCTGTGCTTCAGATTTTGGCTTTTCCCTGCAGCAGGAAGCAGAGCAGAAGATGGTCTGATGAGAGATGCATTCCAGTTTGAAGTACTGCAAACACAGCATGAAGAAGTCAAACAGAAGGTTGGCAATATCCTCCCTTCTCCTCTAAATATCACATTTTTGATAGGAAGGTGGGAGAAATCCAGTCCCAAGCATTTAATTCTAATCAAGGTGATGTAATCTTTGTAATCCAGGAGTGTGTTAAAATCATTGTGCTAGAAACACCTCTACTCATAGTAAATTTTATTTCTTGGTCATTTCAGATTAGCAAATGCCAATTTTTCAGTTTTATTTGTTCCCTATCAAATAATTTCTCTGCCCTGTCTGACAGAGATGTTTTGTTTAAAGGTTTGAGAAAGTGCCATGACTTTCAAGTGATTTATGTTACTTTACTTTCTGGTGGTCATTTATGCAAAGATACTCTGTTTCCCTTCCTCCATTCTCTGTATCTTTCCCAGCTCTATTT